CCGAGGTTATGAGAGTCACCACGAGTGCTCTCCCCCGGCAGCTGCGTCCCTGTCTGCTTGTGTGTCCGTTTGTATGTCTGCCTGTGTCGTCTTTCACTCTCCAGCAGCTCTTACCTCCGAGTACTCCCCCCTCCTGTACGGCCGGCACACGGCGATAAACACTGACACACGCACACGTACCACCCCATTATGATTTGCCGTACAAGCCCCCACCCCCAACCGGTCCTGGCGGCGATTGATGCAGAACGCGGCCAAGTTCAAGTCTGTGGGCGAGTACGTCAACTGCCGTACCGGCATGCCGTGCCACCTGCACCCCAGGTGCGCGTGTATGTATGTGTGCATTTATGTAAGTCGGCATGTGTCGGTGTGAAGATTGCATAAAGGAGGGAGAGGAGGAGGGGGAGGGGGAGGGCGAAAATCAGCCGGGAAGGAGGTCCTCTTTCGGATACGGCACATACACACGCGTGTGGGGTGATGGCATCATTATCATCGTCATCACCACCCCCCGCTGCCCCTGTTGCTGCTCCTGTTGCTGAACCCCTCACGCACTCCTCCTCTTTGCCCATCAATGTACTTGACCTGTACGACGCCGTACAGTTCCGCGCTGTACGGCCTAGGTTACACCCCTGACTATATAGTGTATCACGAGCTGGTGTTCACCACCAAGGAGTACATGCAGGTGGGCTTGAGGGGGGTGGCGGGGGTTTGGGGGGGGAGCGAATTATTTGCACTTTGTTGGAAATGGTTTTGGTAGCTGCGGGGGTTTCATTGGTTACTTAGTTGATTAGAAGAGTGGTGTCCGGAGCCGGTGGAAATACGTGGAGGCGCTGTCCTGGCGGGGGGCGGCTAGAACTGCCTACTGCAGGCAACGAGGGCACCTCAAGCCCCAACTAGGAAGGACCTAAAGACCTAGGTCCCTATCATAACCTAGCGGACAAAGCAGATGCCACTACGAGGAGGACAGCTGCCCCAACCCCCCCCCCCGGGGCAGCAGCTTAACTCGTTCGTGGTTCGTCTTTCCCCCTCGGGGGCACAACGAGTGTGTGTGTGTGTGTGATAAGCCTGGCCCCTTCCCCCCTTCTTACCCCCTCACGGGCGCCATGTTCCCCTGACCCCACATCCATCGGTGTAACCCCCCGACCCTACATACATACGTACATACACCTTCCCCCTCCTCCTCCGCATTCAGTGTGTTACGGCGGTGGAGCCGGAGTGGTTGGCCGAGCTGGGGCCCATGTTCTTTAGCGTCAAGGTGGGTGCGGGGGGGGCGGCGAGGGGGGCGGGGGGGCGGCGAGGGGGGCGGGGGGGGCGGGGGGGCGGCGAGGGGGGCGGGGGGGGTGTCCCTGGCTGCTCCGCACGTTGATTCATAGCGCCAGGTGATGTAAAGCATACTTACATACATACACATGCACATCTCGCTGCCAGCACCCCCTACCCCTACCCCTCCCCCTCCAGGAGGTGGGTGGCAGTCTGTTGGAGTCCAAGCAGAAGCAGAGGGCGGACAAACAGGCCATGGAGGCGGAGATGGCGGCCGCGCAGAAGAAGAAGGAGGAGGAGGAGGTCAGTGTTGGGGTGCCCGGGGGATGGGTGGTTGATCAAGGGGGGAAAGGGGGGAAAGGGGAGGCAATCGGAGGGGAGGGATACACGCACCCAGGCAAGAGCAAACAACACCCCCACGCCCCAACCCCCAACCCCACATCCACACACGCCAACCCCACCAGGCCGCGCTCAAGGCCCGCCTAGATGCCCAACGCAGCCGGGAGCGGGACTCCATCGTCACCCCTGGGCTGGCGAGCGGGGCTGGGGCGGGTGGTGGGGGTGGGGGTGCAGGTGGGGGTGCGGGAGGGACCCGGCGGGGCACCACACCTGCACTGTCCAAACGGCGACATCTTGGGCTGTGAACTGACTAACACGCGCACACACGCACATACATACATACACATATACGTATACACATACAGCATAACACCCAACCAGTGGTGTACGTATGGATGTACCTACGCTCAGATAAGACATACAGACATGCTGGATACCACCACCGCTTTGTTGAGATGACGTGGGAGTTGGGGGCGCAGAGGCCCCAAATGGTGGGGCAGCTGCTCGCGTGTGTTTAGATGGATAGTTTAGGTAGGTCGGTAGACTGACTGATATGGTGCGGCCCTAGGGGAGCCCCCCACCGGTCGCGTTGAGAGCAGCAGGGGAGGGGGGAAAGGGGTTGGAGGCGCCATGCTGTTCATTACATAACATGGCATTTGTTACAAAACATGACACCAAATTGGGGTTGGTTGGACCCCCTAGTCGGTGATGCTGTAGTGGTGGTGTCAGTGGAGGATGTTGGGGGTGCGGGGGAGGGGGGGAGAGAGACAGAGAGTGGGAGTAGTAGTAGTAGTAGTAGTAGTAGATGTAGTAGATGTCGTAGGAGTAGGAGTAGCCCGGGGGACAGCGCGGAGCGGGACGTCAAGAGGGTTACAGTGCTAGATTGAGGGAGTATGGGTTGAACCGTCAGTCTTGGACAGTTTGGCGGAGCGTCTACGTTACAAAAACGTTTATATCGCACTATGCCAATAACCTGCCGTACGAACCCTTTCACTCCACTCTATTGCGGACTAAAAATATTATCACCACCACTGCTCCTTTCTCCTCCGGCCCGGGTTCAATTCCGCCCGCCAGCAGCCTGGACAACTGCATTGTGAGAACTACGCCAGAACTTTACTTGTGCTAGCTACCCGCCGCCAACTGATCAAGTGATATTGGCACATCATTTCGTTTCACAACACCAACCGACCAACTTATAATGAAGTCAACATCTATTCCACCTTCCACGAAAGAGAGATCTACAAATCCGAAGCACTGTACGGCATACACCATACCCCGCCAACACCATAACTGTATGGCAAGCACAGTCCGTACGTAGTGTGCTCACAGAAAGACAGACAGACTGACATCTATTGACTCATAATTTCATAACACAGGGAAACGTGAAAACACATCAGAGCTCGTCAACCAACCTCGAGGTTCAACCACAACTAGATCTTCATCATTTTCTGTCGTTCACATTTTGCAAGGTGGCCAAAGTCTCCCCCTCCTCATCAGTTTATTGGTTCCCGTGATTCCCGAATTGTGGTCTTGTCACTGCACTCGTCAGTCACTGTACCACCAATAGGTCTGCAAGCCTTCAAAAAGTTAACTGTATCACTTCACGACTTCGTGCCCACAACGGCCCGCTGGGAAGCGGAAGCGGGTCGGCGCCAATCGCGCCACCAAGATGTCCAGAGGACCGCGACGGACTGCGACCCGGAAGCCCCGAGCCCCCTTTCCCCTCCCCCCCCCTTTCCGCCCCATACGGCCCAACTGTATCAGATATGCAAAACAGTCGGGAAACAGAGAGGGAGCCCCGGGCAGCAGAGAGGAGGGGAGGGGAGAGGCAGCCCCGAGTAAAAACAAGAGCCGCATCCCCCTTGGGGGGGAGGGGGGAGGGAGCGAGGGAAATGTCAGCGGGGGCCACCACGCCGCCAGCCGGGGCGGGCTCCACCAGCCGGGGCAGGGGAGGGGAGATGTCACGAAGAAACCACCCTGCTGTGAAGATCCAATAACTGCAAAATGTAGCAAAATGTACGAAAACACGTACACCCACACACCGACAACCACAAACATACCTGCTGCCTGAAAACACCGTCCTTGAAGGGAGGAAAGGGGCACCCGCCACCTAGGAGGGCCCACTCGTCCTACCCCTACCCCTACCCCTATCTAGGCAGGTAGGTAGATACGCAGGCAGGCAGGGGCCACACGCCCAGGATCGCCCCCACCCCCACATACCCCCACATACCTCCCCCCACCAACACCCTCTCCAATACCCGCGTGCGAGCCGGCGGGAGAACAATCAACAACCCGACCCGACCCGACCGGGCGGGGAGGGGGATGGGCGCCTCCATGTCCACGTGGGCACAAGGTATCACAACACAACCGACACACATATAAGTAGCTAAACAAACATGCCGCAGAAAACCGTACACATATGTACATACATACATACACGAACATCGACGACACCCCGACACACCTGCCTGCAGCTACAGAGTAAAAAGTGCCTCAGCCGTCAGCCAACCGTTGGCCTGAATGAGACATTCGGGCGCGAGTGCACTCGGGCGCGCGCGAGAGAGAGTGAGGTCTACAGAATGGACGATAAAAGAGTTGGACGTTGAATTAAAAAGGGGGAGGAAAAACCCAGTTGGAATGGCGCCCGCATGCGTCAGCAGCTGATAGACCATGCAAAAAGTCCCCCCTCCACATTACCACAACGCTTTCTCTTCGGGTTTATATGTCTCAAGGTATGTATGTACGTCCGTATGTATGTAGGTATGTCCGGTAGCTCAATCCCCCGAGCTGTAGGGCTGTGGGCTGTTGGGTGGTTGGAGGTTGTGGGCACCTCTGCCGTGTCAAAACCCCCTCCCCCTCCCCGCCCGCTACAGCTTGACACACTGGAGGTGCAATGGAGTGCAAAAGGGCGGGTGGGGGGGAGCAAAGCCAAGTGGGACTATTTCGATGTTGCCCCCCCCTTGGCCGTTGACTGGCGACAACGACACAAAGCCGGACACTACGTGCACACCCCAAGGGGTCCCAACCTCCAGGGGGGCCCACGGCTCCTCCCGCCTGAACCCCTCAAACTCTCAGCATGCATGCAAGCACCGCGCTGCGTCCCTCCCCCCTCCATCCCCCTTGCGGAGAGGTACATACAGACAAACACACGTCTGGGTACACACGTGCACGTACACAGCCGTAACATAGGCGACACACACATGCATGAGAAATATTTCTCCTGACTCCTAGAAGTCCCACATACATACATACATACAACATACACAGCGTTCTTCGAACGGCATCGTCATTAAACTGCCCCTCGTTCGTTTGTTCGTTGGTTGGTTGAGGACTTAACGAGGGCCACAAACCATTGCGAGGGCTCCGGGTAACCACTTCAACAAATTGTTTCCGTACTGACAGACGGATGAATATGTAGGTGAGTGGGTGAGTGGGTTGAGCGAGATGACCCCAAAACCAGTTTGGTCAGTGCCCATCCGCAACACCGGCCCCCACCCGAACAACAGCCTCGTAACACCCCACCCCCCTCACAACATGCACCCCCAACCGCACAAGAGCCCCCGTCCGTCCTAACCGCCTCGTACTCACTCCGCCGCTATACGGGCACAAAATTTGCCGCGGTTGGTCACAAATCCGTTAGTTCGCTGGCCACCCGCGGCCAACCGTTCAAAAGAACCTCGCCCAACTGCAAAACCGCCCCAACGTTTAACTAACGTTTAACTACGCTGCACGGCTAAACCAGTACACACCAACCGTTACTGTGCTGACCAGGCACTGTACGAGATCTGACGACGGGCCGCTGTCGGGGGTGTGGGGGGAGGCACGCGGAAATCCCCCCCCGCACACACACACACACACACGCGGGAAAGATCAACAGCCCCTCACCCCAACCCACTTCATCCCACCTCGCCTCACATCTGGGTACGTGGGCGATACCGGCGGCCGACAGTAGCAATAGCAGCAGTAGCCGTCGTCGCTTCCGGGTGGGGCTACTGCTGCTACTGCTGGAAAGGAAATGCGTCACATCGCGAAGTCTGTTAACCACCATTATCCCCCCGGACTCCCCCCAGGAGGCGCCTCCTCCGCCTTTCATTCACAAACACAAACACAGCGCCCCCCGAGGGGCACCCGCCTTCCCCCCTCAACCTCAATGTATACTCTGTACCTACCTACAGAGCGGAAGGATAACTTCCTATTTCGTACGGCAATTGCGCGGTGGCGGTGGCGGGTGGACCATTCTTAACGGGTCTGGTGGTCAAACTCGACTCACGGCGGGCGGGGGGGTGGCTTGGGGGAACTGGGCCGGGTAATGGTCATTGAGCAGGAGTGCAGCGGAACCCCACAGCTCCTCCTCAGATCACTCCCGTCGCCCTCACTGCCGTACAAGTGGATGACAGAGCGCACCGTCCCCGCATCGACCTTACAGACCTTCTGTGCACCACCAATAATCACCAACCGCCAACAACACCAACCACCAACAGACAAAAGCAGTTAGCCCTTCTCATGCACCCCCCTTGGCAACATCATCATCACCGGCCCCCGACCAGCCACCGCCACAGCCACCGCCCCACCGACAGACAGCACTGCGGACCCGTGTGGGGTGTGTGGAGGAGGTCTGCCGCGGCCGCCGACATTGCCGCGTCGCGCTGCTGCCGCGCCGGACCGTGATTGCCGTACTGCTGGCGGCGGTTGCGCCGTACATCGTGACCCACATCGTGGAAGCTGCCGCCGCCGCCTCCGAGTGTCCCCCACCATCTGGTCCGCGGGTCGCCTCCACCTCCACCTCCAACTGCACCTGCCGAGGAGGAGGAGGAGGAGGACTGCACCTTCCGCTGCCGCCGGCCCCCCTCCTCCCTCCTCTCCCGGCCCCCCGCGGTCCCCCCCTCATACACACAGATGCTGACCAGGGCGCGGCTCAGACCGGCCCCCTCGGCGGAACCCACAGGGGGGCCCCACAGCGACACAGCCGACCAACCAGTTGCTGCCGCCGCCGCCGCCAAAGGGGAGGGTGGGCTGCACTCCCCCCGGCCCCACACCGGCTCCCATTCCGTGGACGCCTGGGACATCGGGGAGTCGGAGGGCGCGACATGACCGCCGGAGCCTCCAACTGTTGTGACCCGTGGGTCGTTGTCGCGTCCGCCACCGCTGCCAGAGGCGGGAAGGGCTAGGGCGGATGTGCTGAGCCTCGACATCATCAGCTGGCCCCCCTCCTCCTGATGCTGCTGCTCGTGTCGCAGAGGTCTCGTTGTTTTTGTTGTTGTTGGGTCCGGTCCGAAAGATGGCTCGGAGACCTGAGAGGTCGGAGGCGGGTTGAGCGGCCGGGGCGGTGGGGCGACCGGATGGCTCTTCACTCCGACGACCGGCATGCGCGGGCCGTTATGTACGTGGCCCCGCGGCATCCCCTCGTACGCCGACTTAGCCATAGAGAGGAGAGCAGATGCAGCGGTGGCGGCAGCGGCGCCAGAAGCCGGGTGGTGGTGGTGGTGGTGATGCTCTTGCTGCTGTTGCTGCACCGGCTGCTGCGGTGGTGCGGTGGTCGCGAGGGCCCAGGGCAGATCCCCGCAGGAAATAAGGAGAGCCCCGCCGCCGTCAAAGCCCCCAGCCGCAGCAGGACAGGATGCAGGGGCGGTAGGGGCTGTAGGGTCCGACGGCTGCGACAGGTGGTGGTTTTCCTCTCTCGTTGCTGCAGCTACAGACTCATGTGGTGAAGGTGATGAAGGTGGTGGTAGCCCTCCAACCCTGGAAGCTGGCTGCTGCTGCTGCTGGGTGGCGGTGGCGGTGGGGCCCGACGGCAGCGCTGCCACTTTAGCGTCACCGGGGGAGCAGGACCCGGTGCTGCTGCCGCCGCTGGCTCCCGCAGATGGTGCTGCAGCAGTAGCACTGACAGTAGCGGCACCCAATGCCCGTGGCGCTGCAGTTTCCGCAGCTGCCGCGGCCACTAAAGCCATGCAAGGTGACGGCGGCATGTGATTGACGGCGGCGGCAGCAGCAGCGGGTATGAGCTGCAGCTGAAAGGCCGAACTGTCAACAGCAGCGTCGCTACCAGTAGCAGTAGCAGAAGGACATGAAATAGCACGGCGGTCAGCGGAGGCAGCAGCAGCAGCAGCATCTTGGGCGCTATTGGGGTTGACACCGGCGTCAGCTACCTGATCCGCCGGGGCGGGTGGGCGGGTCGACAGACTGACTCCGACAGCCTCCAGGCGGGAGGAGGGGCGATCCGCCTTCAATGACCGCGCCTGTTGCTGGACGACGTGGCACCCCGGCGACCTGGCGCCCGCATTCGACCGTTTCCATTCGCACTGGTGTTGCTGCTGTAGCTGTTGTCGCAGCTCGTGGTGGCGGAGGTTCCCGAAGGGGTGGTGGAGGCCGCCACGCGGGGTGGGCCTGTTGCCGCTGTTGCCGCCGCTGTCCACGCTGGCTCGTCCCGCCCAGAGCCTGTCTACAAGGGACGGTGAGAAGCAGAGCGGCGGGGACTCCCACACGGGGACCAGTTCGCTGGGGCTGCCGGCTGCCTGCACCGCGACGGGATGTACGTCCCTGCAACCCGCAGCAGTAGCAGCAGCGCGCTCCTGCTCGGGTGTTACCCTTTTGACGGTGGAAGAGAAGCGGCTGCTGCTTGAAAGAGACGGTGCTGTTGCTGGGACGCAATTGAGCTGCTGCATCGCAGCTGCAACAGCAACCTCATGTGCTTGTGCGGCTGCTGCCCGGCCGCTCTGAGAGAAGGGATAATTCTTGCGCTGGACAGCTTTCAGAGGAGCGGCGCCGCAGCTCTGAAAGGGAAGTAGAGCAAGTGGGACACTTGAAACACCATCCGGGCCCGATGCGGCCTGCAGCGCTGCCGATAGTCCTCCCTTTAGCCTTCGGGCAGGTTGCGAACACCAACTTCCCTGGAGTTCGCTTGTGGCGCCTGAAACAGAAGAAGCCTCAGCAGGGCAGCTACCCTTTTCCTGGGCGTTGGTGGTTGCAGCCGCGGGGTTCACATGACCACAACCGCAAGCATTCAAGTATCCAACATCCTTGGAAAGGCCATTCCTTGTTTCGGAGTCTATTTGGCTGTTGGGGCAGGAATCGAAGCCACCATCCGGGCCCTTTCCGCAGCCAGCAGCATCGTTACAGCCCCCTTCTCTGTTCAGACAAGACGCCTGAGAGCTCAACGCTGCCGGCCAGACGTTGATAATGCAAGGAAAGGCCCCTGCCTCACGCTGCGGGGGAGGTCGCGAGAAACGCCGTTAGCTCGGGACTACTGACCGCGCGCAGCGAACATGTTACAGCATTCCCTGGAAATCATTACAACGGCTGAGGTGCTATTACTTTAAAAGCGTGCCGAGAACCCACCGCATAGGCCATATCCGTGAGATTTCATCCAACCCCCTCCTAGCTGCAACCAGCCATAAGTGGACTCAATAGCTTACCGTAATACTGCACATTGAGTGTGACTGGCTTGTCCAGGCATGGCTGTACATATTAATCCAGTGACAGGGGTGTTCACCTAAACTGTCGGGCTACCTTTTCCTTTAGGGTTCACCTGACTCGCTATGCAAAATAAATTCTCATTGTTTCGCGTATAGCTTTACTGCGAATTGTGTTGGGTCCGGCAGTAGAGCGTCTAACGTCCGCCTACGGCGCCGTGCTTGGGAACTGCCGCACGGCAGATCTGGCCTGTCGGCCTGAATAAAATAATATTGCAAAAGATTACCAGTGTGCATCCGTAGAATTTGTCGAGATTGTCGGCACTGATGTTTTGCGTTCCGAAATCTTGTTCACATCCTGCAACAGTCAGCAGCAACAATCTATGCTCAACTGAAGCGCCCGAATGAAGGAACTTGCTTTGTTGCGCCAAGGCAATGTCTGAATGTAAACAGATTCAATGAGGTAAAAGTTCCGTTTCGGCCAATTATAGAGCCAATCCTTTCTGCTGCAGGATATGCCCTTCACGCGCCCTATAATTACTTTTTGATCACACATCATTTCCGCCGCTCGCATACGAACTTGTATATTGAATCCGTGAATAACCCGAGTGCACCTCTACTTTCGCTGTGGTCGGTGGTCACTAGGACCCGACGAGCAAGGTTGCACGCAGCTGCGCCAGACAAAGTCGCAGCGGTGAGCCGCAGATCGCTTTGGTAATCCAGTATCCCCACGCCTTGGTTTGTTGGATGTTCCCAAGTCCCCAATGTACATCAAGCCCCGGAGGGTAAAGCTCGAGTGGGTTACAAATTTGGGCATGACAGGTGACAAGCTCAGTCCTTATAGAGATGGACTTCTGGACTCGAGCAGGGCATGCATCGGCGAAGAACCTACCTTTGGCAGCTAGCTGGCATGTGCATGCACGCGACCAACCTAGGCGGATGCATGATGCGTGTTGATGGAGCGGATGCAGGAGCTGTCGCCTATTGAACTACTACATACACAGTGCTGCATACCTACGTAACCATACTTGCATGCCTGGGTGGTCCCGGCGCCTACGAGCAGCCCTACCTACCTACCTACCTACCTATCTACCCAACCTCCGGCAAACCCCTTCCCGTCTGTTGGCCAATGCGGTGAACTCGCGAGGGTAGCCCGACCAACACAGGGTGGGGAGCACCCAACACGGGGGAACGGCTTCCTTAAAGATATCCCCACCCACGAGCCGCCGTCCCCATGGCAACCAGTCGGATTCCGGTTGGAGTGCATCTGCATCTGCATCTGCCTCCTCCCGGAGAGGAGGCTGCCTAGCTAACTAGCCAGGACTAGGAACCGGGCACCCAGAGCGAGCTCGGTGTTGTACAGCTGTCCACAACGCTCGCAGTCGTCGTTCTTGAGGAACAGCTGTTTGGGCGCACTGTTTGCCACTTCAGAGCACCATAAGTCTATGCCATGCATACGTCAACAGCCCCTTTCCGCCCCCCCTTCCCAGCGCTCGCACTGGCCACGCACGTTTGTACCTCAGGCTAGGCACGCGGCATCTACCTGGCGCCACCCCGCCACCTCGGGTGCTCATGACAGCAAATCATTGCAGTTCTTTCCGCCCTGTGACGGGCGCGGTGAGTCCCAGGACGCTTGCAGGTCGGCCGGTAATAAACCGTATGACAAGCTCGGTAAGATGCCGTACTTTATCTGCCAGTACGAGCAGATCTTGGTGTCGCAGTCCGAGTCGGCCCAGATATGTTGCTGCTCGGTGCTTGCATTGCCCCAAGTGACAAGCGGCCTGATCGCCGCCCTATCCGCCAGTGCACCGCAACTGTTAACGTCCAACGGCCCTGTTTTGTGACAGTTGGTGGTTGATGGTCGGAGGCAGAGGGGGTCAAGGGCCAGCGGGAGGGGAAGATATGCGCACATGCAGACCTACATACAAACATACTTGCTGCATGACTGCATACATGATTCACATGGGTTTGTCCGAAAAAGAGACGGAAAGGCAAATGATGTATGCGTAGATCCCCCCCCGGCCGACAGTCTTGCTCTGCTGCTACCTTGGCGGCTTCTTCATCCACTTTCCCCTCAAGGAGCTTCAAGGTGCGACATGACATGACATGGCATGACATGATGTGTGCGGTGCACCCCGCCAACCGACTACTGGGCCCCCCACCTTCCTGAGCACCTTCCTGGGTCCGGGGGCTTCGCAGCTTCTAGCTGCCGCTTGTCTTGGCCGCCAAGTGGCAACCAACCAACCGGCACAACACACAACAATCCATCGTCAAGAAGAGAAGGGTGCGACGTACGGTTACACAAACACACATACGCACACGCGGACGCAGACAGCGATAAAACAAGCATAACAATACGCCGTATAACCAAGATCACGTGTGTTAAAGAAGTAACAAGAAAGGGTAGGCCGCACCTGACAACGAGTTACACGTTTTGCCGCTGTTCGGGCGGATCCAGTCCCAGGAGTGCTGCAACGGCTGTGGCATCGTGCCGTACGTCACGTACGGTACGACGCCGTACTTGCTCCGCCAGTAGTCACAAACCTTAGATTCGCAATCCGAGTCGGTGTAGACCAACTGCTTGTCAGGGTGCATACTGCCCAAGCTGTACCCCGGCTCGATGCCGTACTCATCGACCAGCGCACCGCAGCCAGTAGCGTCTAGCTGTTGTGCGGATGCTGTACGACAGTACCCAGCGAGTAGCAGCACTGCCATAGCTGCGCCCGCAAAGGTAATGGTTGGCCACCGGGTGGGAGGTGTCGGCGGCGGCGGCGGCTGCAGCAGCGTGGAGGGGCACTTTGGAGCTCCGGAATCGCCCTGGGGGGTTATCCCGCAGCTTATGACGACGACGCTCCGATGGATTTCCGAGTTGCGGTCGGGAGTCCTCACCGCCACCATTGTTATATTATTTATCAATCAGGCGCGGCCGACGTCACTGGTACCACTAGCCCTTGGTGGTAATGTAGCACTAACGCGCAGTAGTCGGTTTAGTTCGTGAAAGGTCGAAAGCACCCCTTCCCTCCCCGGGTGGAAAGTGTCCTCAAGTCGACTCGACTGCGCGCACGGGCGGGACAGGAGAAGTGCACAAGGGACGGGGAGCAGGGGCGCAGGAGGAAAGGACGAACTAACTACTAACTGCGAGATAATCAACTTAGGAATCAGAAATGGACTTGCGCGTCCAGGAAGCCGACAACCAAAACCTGGACTATGCTACGCTGTTAGGAGGAAGCGCTGTTAGGGAACGTATCATCAGGTTTGGCGATGGATTGTGCAAATCGCTTGCCTTAGCCTGACAATCCTCCAGCCACTTGGATTTGTTTTATTGCGCCCTGCCGAATCGCATTTGGTTGTTGCCTTGTCAATCTTGGTTTCCACTTCCGTTCGTGACCGCCTTCCAACCAACAAGCGGCATGTATAAAGCGCGCTGCTGGCGATAACCTGTAAGGTTAATTCCGGCTATGACGAAGCTTTGAAGGCGACAGATATTAGGGCAGTATCGCCGTACATGTGCGTCATTAGGCATTGGCCCACCAAAACGGGCCGTTAGTGGTGTTGAGATGGAGCGGCTACCGGACCTGTCCGCCTTCTGGACCTCATTAACCAGTTTGCATGTCGTCAATCGGGACATCAGCAGTAGAGATGGAAATGGCCAGAGTGAGGCCGGCTGCTCGGGTGCGAGAGAGACCGAAGCGACCCGCTTTTAACTGGCAGTCCAATCGGGACGAGTGTTTTTGCAAACAGCTAACAACAGAGGCCTGAGTAGGCAACAGCTGGGTCCCCGGCTGCTGACTCAACAGTGTGGATGCTAAATTACAAGTGGGGAGTAGCCGCCTCCCCGTCGGCCGCGGATCAGCGCGGACAGCCAACAGCTCACACATGCGGTGGCGCGGTATACACGGACACAACACACACATGGTGGTGTACCTCTGTACGCCATTCGTACGGCGTCAAACATGTACATGGTTGGCGCTCATTGGGTCCCAAGAACCGCAATTTGATATTACTGCCGTACACTTCCCTCCCCTCCGTCCGGAGGGCACCACACATCCCCCTTGGCACCTGCTAACCCCGGGTGCCCACCGGGATACCACCGGCCTCATCCCCTCCGGGTCACGTGACCTGGGTGGTCACTCACACTGGGGCGGCCACCGGTTGGCAGGGCCACGCGGCGGGAGCCTCACTCTGGGGAGCTCGAAGCGGACCCTCAAGCCATTCACGCAGGGGGTCAGCACCGACGGCATTATTTTGAAACGTACAGTCCTACCCCCGCCGTTGCCGGGTACCAGTTGAATGCCGCATTCCCCGGTGTGATACTCCGCGCCGGCTGGGGCGGGCAGCAGCCTCCCCTCGCGGATTACTGCCGTGACAGCGCCACTGCCCGCCACATGAGTGCAGCGCACCCACCCGCAACTTGTTTTCGTCGGTGCGCACCAGTGGACCCCACATGCCTCTGAGCTCACCCGGATAGGGGCCTTGATTCCCGAGGTGCCAGGTCCCGGGCCCCTTTCCCTTCATGGCTGGGGCAGGCAGGACAACCACTGCGCTTATGATGTGTGGGGCAGGAGGGCATATCTTCACCCGTGGCCGCTACCTGGCGAAACCCTGCCTTCCACGGTCTTTCGGGGCATCCTCATCCAGTCACCCTAGCCGACTTGTCAGTGGGTCGCTCAGGTCCAGCACCGGCATCCACCACCCCCAACCGGCATCCAACAGAATCTGCCGGATCAACGGCGGCTCAACTCCATTCCTGACCAGCTCGCAGGTCTACTTTATCCCAGGTCACCACCGTCCATCGACTAGGGGCGCTCTTACCTTCCACCATCGGAAGGATTTCTCGACCCTGACAGGTCTCGAGCCCGGAACCTCCGGGGGCATCGGTGTGCGTTACCAGTAGTGCCTTAACTGTATATAACTGTATAACGGAATAACTGTATAGCTGTATAACTGTATAGCCGCGCTTATAATAGCCATTGCCTATTAGCCGATTTCACTTCCAGCCGGATGTTAACAATCATTTAATGAGACAAGACCTCCCCTCGCGGAACAGTTACGTACAACATGTGGCGGGTTCTCCTCTGATACGACTCCGGTTGACGCTGACTCCGGTGTGTAGACGGCAGACGACGCCGTCTCCGCAATGCGAGACCGACCGGGCCCACCTGTGAAATGAAGAGGTGGTGGTATTGCAGGTAATGTCGTCAGATGGCCGCGATCCCGTCAAGTGCTGGGCTTTGACAGGTTGGAGGGGTACCTGCTGCTTTTCCTCTGAAGTGTCGAGACGCGGTACATTTACTTATTTTAATGCACTGTTCTCGGGATCTAACTCTGTGGATAGTGTTACTTGGATGGAGCTGATAGGATACGGTGTTGTCTTCGCATGTTCGCCCAAGCAATCGACTTAAAGGACAGCTCTCATGTACCGCACGGTTACGCGCCGGTACTTAGTACGGCGCTCGCACGAAAGCATGGAAGCTGCCCGTGTGCAGCTTTAAGAACTGCCCGCAGACGGTGGTTGGGCAGCTGTCTACGGTGTGGTGAGCCGAGAGCCGTAAGGACTCGAGCGCGTTTTCCTCATGTTCCCAGCTCCCATTTCGGCATGCATTACCCTTTTCCTAGGTACGAAAATGTGTGGAGCACTTGCAGGCTTTGCCGTTTAGTTGTTGGGGTCGGCCAGTACCCCCAACATGCTGGCTTGCTCAGCTCACGTGAACCTTTGAACCAGAAATATCCAACATGAATGTGGGGGAAGAGAATGCCCAAGGCATCCTTAGCCGTTTGCTTGTCGTGAACGTTTCGTAATTTGGTATGGGACCATCTGGCACAGCACGGCTGGCTGGCCGGCTATCGGTTGAAGCCGAACATCTCGCTTCCGGATGGGGTTTGCAACGGAACCCTCAGCGAGGTCACATGCCATGACAAGCGATCTTCGGTGCACTACAAACGGGGTTTCCTGACATGCTTTGGGTTCGTCATGTGCTCAAGGAGACGGTCGAAAGCTTGCAGGGCATAATGTGCCATGGCAGACGGGGGAAAAGGCAAAATCGCTGGCGTAGGCATCTAATACATTCTTGCATTTGTCAAGCATGCATTGTATACGCATGAACTGCGAGCCAGCCTACATGGACAGACACAATACGGCAGTACCTTTCAGAGCGATGGGCCCTACCGAGCTTAGCCCCTTGAGCTAGTCTTTGGCCCAACGTATCTTGGGTTGCCTATGTGTTCGCGTTACATTGCATTCTGGACTGCATCCTGTGCACTCGTATCGTATGTAATCTAAATCAGCGCATTTTGTGCAAGGTCCAGAAGGGTGAGAGTCGGCGCGACGGCGGGACACTCATACACTGTATCGTCCTCCACAGAGACATAATGAGAATATCCCGCTGGTGATAGCGTTTCGTCTTGAAGTGTAATACCTTCATGTAAGTTTCTGCACGTTGACTCCGTATCTGTACGCTGTAATGTTACTACCTAAGTCAATCTAGGATGACGCGCTTCCAAAACATACGTCCACATCATATACATGTTTATGAATCCTTGCTCAGGAAAGTTATCAAAAATTCGGGAGCTTTCATTTAAATGGAGAAGTGGCGCCAGGACGGTGGCGATTGTGAAAGCGCCAGCATGTCAACCACGGACACAGATGATAGTTCTGGTTGTGAGGAAGTGCCGGAGCATGAGGTGACCTCTACTCGGAGGGGCGCTTCCGGTGCGCGCGCAACCTCTGGGTCGCACGGCACCGCTGGCTCCGCGTCGCTCGGCGATCCGCTAAACCGGACACCGTATAGGGCCTGGACCAAGGAGGCAAGTATAAGGAAGCTGTGTTTCATGTGCCGAATGGGCGCAAAACCACGGAAAGGAAAGCGCAAGATTTGTCGAAACCAGCCTTTTCTTAGCAAACCTAAACACTATAAATTTTTACAGTCTGCCAGGATCTCGGCGTCTTTAGGGTGGCTGAGGGACCCCGTTGCTGCGACTAGTGAGTCAGCTTCCGAGCTGGCTTGTCCTTGCCCGAAGCTGGCTAGCAACACTAACTTGCACATTTCCTTCCGCTTGCATTGCCCCATGTTCTGCAGCATTTGCTCGCCGAAATATTCCTCGGTGTATGGGCCACACGTGCGCGAGCGCACGCTAGGTCATAACTGTGTACTTTTCCCATGCCTGCTCCTATGCCTGAGAAAGGACCGCTCCCTTCTCCAGCCACCCCCCCCATCTCCCACCCAGTTCGCATGTCTACATGCCCTCAGAATCACCCTATGCACATGACCCGTCCCTAATGCCCCACTCCCTTGAATGTCTCTAAGGCCCGCACTTCTTCCCCCGTCGCTATTGGTACAACCACTAGTAACTGAAGATGTCCTGATTTTGGAAATGCTGCTGGATACGCACTCTGCTGTGATGCAGGAGGACGAGCAGCTTCGCTCCCTGGTTGAAACTCATGGCGCCAACAAGTGGACGGAGATTGCCGCCGGGTTGCCAGGGCGCACCGGGAAAAGCTGCCGTCTTCGGTAAGTGGGGGTGAAGGTTGCGGGCGCTGTGGAAAGGTACACGGGACATGGACGGGGCCTCGGGCCGTGTGTGCAGAAAACGGAGCTAGACACGGGCCAGGGTCAACTCGATTTGTCACGGTATAAAAACGGGTGATGCCCTCAGCATTTTTGTTTCCCCCCGCTTCCCCCCCTTCAACTCATGCAGATGGGTAAACCAGTTGCGTGGCGATTTGCTGACGAGCGCCTTCACACCGGCGGAGGATCAAAAGATTGTGGAGATGCAGGCGACGTACGGCAACAAGTGGAGTGCAATTGCTCGGGAATTGCCTGGCAGGTGGGCTGCGCAGATTAGGATTTGGTGATCGCTGTGTGGCATTTGGGTCCTCCTTGGGCAGAAAGAAAACAGTTCTAAGACATGCGTGAATGGGGCCTTTTGTGCTTATAAGAGCGCGTGGCTGCGTTTCTCCTCGTCGTTGCGAACCAACGGTACTCCATAACTCCTTGTGGTACTTCCCTTGTAACCTGCCATGTCCATAGAACGGATAACATGGTCAAGAACCGTTGGAACTCGTACCTGAAGCGCCGAGTGGAGATGGGCCGGGCTATCGCGCTGTCGCTGGGTCTGGGTCTGGTGCCGGCACCTGGGGCCGAGGCCACCAGCGCCGAAGCCGCGTCTCAACATCCGCAACTCCAGCAACCACAGCAGCAGCAGCAAATGACTGTGCTGCCTTCGCCGCGGCGTCGCCGTAGCGGGGACGGTTGGGCGACTGCAACGAGCGAAGGCCGAGAGCGGCAGCGGCGGAGCATGGAGCACAGCGGTGGCGCCGTGACCGGTAGCGGTGCGACGACATCGAGCGTTGGTGGCGGTGGGGGTGGTCGCAGCGGCGGTCCTGGCCGCCGCAGCAGCAGCCGCGGGCGCGGGGCCGGTAGCCGCGGCGCCGCTTGCTCTGCCTCGGCAAGCAGTCAGCAGCAGCAGGTGCCTCCTGCGACGAGTGCCGCCATGCCGGCGTCGTGCGGCCCGGGGGCCCCGCCAGCAGCACTTCTTCCAGGTCATGTCACCAGTGGCCTTCAGACGGCCTCGTCCGCGCCAGCTGGTACGATTCCAGCTGCCCCGCCCAGTTTTGTCCTGCCACTGCCGGCCGGCCATACTGGCGCTACCGCCGCCACTCATCATGTGCCTGTCTGGCACCATGCTGGTGCCACTGGGACTGTATCGGTCTTTCTGGACCAGCAGCACCACCCGTTGCAATCCACTGGAGGAGCGCCGACCCTGGCAACTAGTTCCTTCACATCTGCCGGCGGAACAGTCCCTGCTGCTGCATCCCACATTGCGCCACCACTGCTGCCGTCAGGCATGATGCCTAGTCCGGCTTTTCCTGCATCTCATAACGTGGCCGCCTCGTCCTCCAGCTCGTCTTCCGCACCGCCGACGGCAGCCCTGAGCACCTTCGGCCTCGGTGGTGTTGCAGCATCGGGGCTTACGGTCCAGGCGGCCGCATCCGGGGTGCCCGGTATCACTGTTGGTGTCCTGGGGGGAAGTACCGCCGGCGCCTGTGGTGGAGGCTTTATGACCACCGGTGCAGGGCTGCCGATGATCCCCCATGTGGGCGGCGGTGCGTGCTTCATGCAGGGTCAGGCCCTCCACCCGCAAGCCCACCCGCTTCAGCAGCAGCCGGCCATGCAGGGTATCCAGTGGTTGCAGCCACCGCAGCAGCAACAGATGCAGCTGCCTCTTCAGCAACAACAGCCGCAGCCTCAAGTCCTACATGGCGCTGTCCCCGGCTACACGGTGCTCCCGAGCCTTCACCCCCAACAGCAACCGCAACAGCAACAAGGCCAGCAGCTCATGGTGCCGCCGCCGCAGCAGCAACAGCATCTCGTGGCTGCTGCCGCACCCATGGTGGCTGCAGCTGCTGGGTCACCTGACCGCGACTCAACCAACGCGCAGCGCGTGGCACTGCTGCAGCAGTATTTCATGAAGCACCTGCCGGCTGAGCAGGCGGCCATTGCCGCGGCGGCAGCGCTCAACCTGTTTCACCAGACCGCGGCCGTTGAGGCGCAGCGTGCTGCCGCAGCTTCGGCAGCTTCACAGCAGTCGCAGCCGCCTCTGCCCCAACAGCCACAAGTCCAGCAGCAATCGGTCCCAGCGACGATGCGAACCTCCAATAGTGATGGATTGCCCCAGATTCCAGAGCTGCCTTGGACGGCCTCTGCTCCAAGTGGTAGTCGACAGTTGTCAGCTGCTGCTACTACTGCTACTGACGCTGGATATCCGAGCATGGCATCGGCGGCATCAGCTGCCGCTGCATGCAGCTTCTTCCTTGGTGGCCCAATGTACGGCACACTGTCCATGCCTTCAGTCATCCCCATCTCCAATCCAAATGCTGCAGAGGCCTTTCCCGCCGTCGCTGCTGCGAACAACACTGCCTGTGGCGCCTCGCCGCCCAAGCGCATCCGGATGCGGCGCGATGACACCGGCGTCTCTACCGTGGCGGCCTCCTTCCCTGATCCACGCGCGCCTCCCTTTGATCTGCAGCAGTCGCATCAGCGAACGGGGACTACCGTGGCGGCGCAGCATCGGCCGCAAGATTTGCCGCAACCGCAGCGCAGTGATGAGCCGATGCGTGGATCAGACGGTCCCGGGGCCCGCCGCAGCTTGGATGGGGCCCCTTCCGCCTCCCAGTCCAGCTCTGAGTCCAGTGGCCGTTTGCCACGGCAGGTCTTGGCCGCGCCATTACAGCATCAGGAGGCGGGGATGGCGCACACCGTGCCCGCGGTGGAGGCTGTTGCCGCACCCGCAGGTCCGGTCCCCTCGACGTCGTCTGGCGGCTTGGGTCACCATGCGCGAATGCGAGACGGTCTTCAGCTTACGGAGCTGCTGATGGCATCACCCATTTGCGACCCGCTGCCGCCGCCGCAGCAGCCGCAGGACATGTTCATCCTTGGCGGCAGCTCACCGGAGGGCAGTCCGCCGAAGTGTGGAGGGGGAGCGCTCTCCAAGCGTATCGTGGCCAGCGCGCCAGCGCTGGCGGCCGGGGCCGCGGCAGCGGTCGTTGCTGCGCCCAGCTCTGGCGAGCATTCGGTGGAGGCGCTGATGGCGATGGACCTGGGTTTTGCGGCGGCTGCGGTTGGCTCTGGCAGCAGAAATGCTACCGCCTCGGAACAGCGGCTGCAGTTCCCGGTCGGTGATGAGACCCAGCCGGCGGTGCAGGCCGCCTCGCACGATGAACTTACCCCGTCTCGCGCGCAGCAGGGGACCGGGGGAGACGCATTTGGGATATCACCGGTCGGTACCGGTACTGCAAGCGGGGGCGATGGCATGCTGTGGGAGGCGGCGGTGCAGAGGGGCTGTCTGCTGCACGGTGCCGCCGCTGCGAGCTGCGGCAGACGAGAAGACATGAAGCCCGTTGCCTCGGGTGCTGCGGCCTTCCCGGCAGCACACGACATCCACTGCCCCACCACGGGTCTTGCCACCGCTGCCAAGGGCACCACGGTACGCCCCTCCCAACCGGGCCACCACTATCATCACCATCACCCAACGCAGGGCCACCATCACCAGCGCGCGCATCTCATGACGCAACACCAGCAGCAATCAGGCCGGCCGTACGACGGGCACGACGATTCCAGTACGCCGCACCGCAATCGCGACGCTGAAGATTTTCTCAGTCATGCGTTATGTGGCTTCTTAGTGGACAACCCCATGGGCATTCCGACACCCGTCGACATGTCGCCGCTGACGGGCAGCATGAGCGACCTGGCGGCAGCGGCGGGCGACGATAACGACGGTGAGGCGCACGGTGTGGTCGACAGCCTACCCTCCGACTGGCATCTAGACGGCATCATGGACAAAGCCCACCTTCCCTGGAGTACCGTGGATCTTGCAGCACACCCAGGCAGCAGCCCGCCAGATCTGAGTTTGAGCGGCGGAAACACCGTTGCGGCTGCTGGCGGGCTACAGGCAAAGGGCAGCAGTGGCGGCAATGGCGGTGGCATTGGCAGCTTTGTTGCATAAGAGCTTCTTGACTGGCCCTACCGGTGATGCAATGATCATGTTGGCCGCCTGATTGTGGAAGGGACCGGCAGCGAAGGCGGGTATACCATTTTGGCAACTTGGGATGGATCTCTTGACTGGATTTGGATCTTGGACTTCATTTTGAATCAGGTTTAGATTTTGAATTGGAAATGACGATATGGAGATATTGGCTCGGTTCGGAGAAGATGGGGTGTGGCTCGGCAAGTCTGCATGTGCTCGTCCGCAGGGCTCTCGCGCTCGCTGCTGGTTTTGTGGCTTTTTAAGGTCTTCACACGGTCAAGCCTCTTTTGCAATTAAGTAAGGCTTAAAGACGGAGGGGTGCGTCGTGATGATTCCTAGTAATGCGGTGATGAGGTGAGGGACGAGGGGGGATGAGAGGGGCACAACGTGGTGACCCAGCGGGGGGTGATGTGCAGGGTAGAGGCAGGGGAGGGAAAGGGGGGATGTGGCGCTGTTAAGGCCAACAAATCTGGGCCCAGTGGGAATGCGTCCGGTCTCATCACCCGCGGGTCGAAGTCTGTCGGGAAGGTTCTATAAGGGTTTGCGGAGGACCGCCTGGTGGTCCTGTGGTGGAAACATCGGCAGCATCGGCCGGTTTTGCGGCAGATTTCGGCCTCGTGATTACTGCGGCGGGTCTTTGTGCGCCCCGGCTTGAAGGGGGAGTGGTTTGGAGAAATGGTGGCTGTCAGGGATGATGGGTTCCCAACCCCACACACACGCCTTTGGAGGGAGGAAGGAGAATCCTTTCATGCTGCGGTAATCGTGATGTTGTGATGGAATGATGATGACTAGGCTTCTTTGCCGACAAGATTGTCGATGTCGATTTCTGGGCATTCGTAGAACGTTACTACTACATCTGCAACGCTGCCCGTTTTGCAGTTTTCTTGTTTCTATTTTGTATGTTGTATGTTCATTTGAGATTGCAAAAGAATCGATAAAGCTCTTTGGTTTTTTGCTATGTTTGGTTTTTGTTTCAGCGGCCATATCAACCATATCATAAATGATGTCTGTCTGCCGTATGGCTTTGTCTGGTGTGCCTCGGGAGCTGGAGCGGCCCAAGCGGCCCAAGGGCCAGACGTCCGCCCAAAGGGGTGCGTAGGTATCTGCCGCACGCGTTTTGGCTGGCTTGCGGAAAGTGGGTTGCCTCCTCCTGTGTATGGCGCATATCCAGGTTGAGGCTGGTGTGGCCTTGGTCTTCTGCCACGTGCACGTCAGGTGCCATTCAAGGTGTGGTAGGGGTTGTGTCTGCGGGGCGGGCGAACTGCTACTTCTAGCGCGACAGCCTGTTATAACCGCTCACATCCGCCAACTGTGAGCGTGGCGGGACGGAACTAGGAGAGATTTAAGTCGGCCGGGCAACTGGCAGGGAAACTGCGGTCGCGTCGTACATGGTACATGGTATGTTGTCTTTTATGTCCACGTAGTCCGTTCCACTCCCATGACCGCATTGCTGTTTGTAAAGAGGATTGTGTGATGTAGAGCTGCTTTACTGTGTGATATAGACTTGCTTTTAGGAATAGGATTTTTGTATTCTTGAGCCCTTGGTATGTAGGTTGATAGGT